AAGGGCACCATAAGAGGCTCTATAGAAATAAATCTCTGCATCGACCTGTATATACAATGCTAAAGTGCGAGTACCATACTGGCCTACAGTAAAAACCATTCAGTCTGAAACCAACTGTCATTTGATCATTTCAATTCCAAAATGCACTTTAATACTTAAAAGATAGGAGTAGATAATTAAAAACTTATATGTAGACTGTAGAGTATATCCTCATGGTGATTACTAACCAAACAATGATAACATTATGCAGGAACCATAAGAAAAGAACTTACATATGACAAACCACCATAAGATGTTAATAACTCAATCATGTTGCTTTTCTTTGCTCCTTCAGCATCAGCTAGAGGCTGTAATCAGAAATGCCAATCAGATAACCAAACCCCATAATGAATTTGAGAATGAAAGCATAGATACAGTCATGAGAATACACATGCACACAAGTGATCCAAAACCAGAGTGTAATATGATCTTCTCCGTAGCTAAAAATAATAACTAGAATGAAAATAACAACCGGTCAAGCTTAACCATTACAATCTCTGGTCATCAAGAACAATTCCCAAAAGTCCAAAACCAAGGTGTGATATGCTCTCGTCCATTTCCACAAAGGTAATTTCAATAAAATAAAAGGTAGAGAACCCTAATTGGGTTTTAGAGGCAACGGTACATAGTAGAAACAGGGAAAGGATTTTCAAGAAACTCACAGTTTAACAACAGGTTTCACCTGAACAAGATGATATCTACTGCAAAACATTCTCGCGATGGTCTCTAATAGAGAAACTGAAGCAGAACAGAACTCACCCCCAAAAATAGCAGCATGTGCAAGGGATCATACCGTATTTTTCCATCGATCTTGAGCGTTGACGTCGGCTCCGTACTCAATCAAGCACTTGGCGACGTCGATCCAGCCGTGGAGAGCGGCGACGTGCAGCGGAGTCCGGTTATCGTAATCCCTAGCTTGCACCAGCGTCCTGTCCTCCTCCAGGAGCTTCTTCACGGCGGCGACGTCGTTCTGGTGGGCGTGCCATAGAATTAGAGAAGTACGGTTGACTCTGGACTTCTCCTTCTTCTTCTCCGCCGTCGAAGACTCTCCTCCGCTCCCGGTGGCGGAATGGTCTGAGCCGCCTTCACTCCCGCTCATATTTCGGGGTCGCTCCGGTTTCGTGGCGGAAGGTAGGCGCGTGAGATTGCCTCTGCCTCTCTGGCACGTTTCTCTCAGCCTAACAAAAGTTTAACGCTCCGCTGAATTTTTGCCAAATTTGGTTTCTTTATTGCCAAATTTCTTTTTTTTAATGCACAGAAATTTATTTCGACAAAATAAATCTGCATGGGAAAAAGTAATAGCTGAACCAGAAAAAGAAATTCATTTTAGAGGCACGTTAATTACTTTCTTCAAGTTTTTATCTCTTAGAATTGTTTAATTATGGAGTATTTAAAAAAATATTTCCTTTTCCACAATGCAAATTACACAAGCAATAAAAATGTCATCCTACATTCAATTTTGCAAATCAAATTTCACATTCACATGTTTCTTTGTGGGAAAAAATTCTAGA